ATTTGGCAATAAAATGAGGACACCAGCCTGAACAATATACATATATATATATATATATATATATATATATATATATATATATATATATATATATATATATATATATATATATATATATATATATATATATATATATATATATATATATATATATATATATTGGTAAATGATAAAACGGAAAACGACGATATAGTTATTATCTTTTTCGTATTTACTCTACGACTATATATGGTATATAAAATTTATTTTTTGTTTATTTATATAAACATAATATCTAAACAAAAATAACTATAGTTTCAGGCCCATCCTATGTGTCATCAACGGGCTGCTGACAAATGCTTTTCTGTATATATATATATATATATATATATATATATATATATGAAGAAATATTGTTTTAAGATAAAGATGTTCACTTACGATAACAAATGAAATGAAAAGGCATGTTGTGATTGCGGCATTAAAGGCTGATCATAGCGATTTGGATATTGCACGTTTCCTCAAAGTTGCAAGATCGTTTGTCCACAAGATATGAAAAGAGTTAGAAGAATCTGACAGTTCCCCAATGTCTGTATCAAAATGTAAAAGACATTCTGCACTTTCTGATAAAGTGAGAACATCCGAATTTATTCAGGAAGTCAAGCAGACAGTTGATGAAAACTGAGGTCAATCAATGAGGTCAATTGCCAAAAAGCTGCATGTGTCTGAAATAAATAATTAGAAGGAATGTTCATGATGACATTCGATACAAGTCCTAAGTGATGAAGAGAGGTCAATTTATGTCTGAAAAAGCAAAAGAAAACCGTTTAAACTGATCCAAAAGGCTTTAAAAAAAAACTTAAAAATCCTTCAGAATCTGGTGTGATTTGGTTTTTCGCAGATAAGAAAAATTTTGTTCAAGATCAAAAACTTAGAAGAAATGACAGATGACTTTGTTCAGATCCTTCTGATGTGCCAAGAGTGATGCGCGCAAAATTTCCTTCAAGTTTTATGGTATTGCGTGCTGTCAGCAATGAAGGACATGTTGTGCCACCAGACGTTTTTCCACAAGGTCTTAGAGTAAATGCTGCTGCTTATATTGAGGTTCTAGATATAGTTGCCAATCACTGGATTGACAACATATGCAACGGCAGGCTTTACATGTTTCAGCAAGTCTCGGTTCCATCCCATAAGGCTTTACGAACACAAGAATAGATGGCTGACCATTTGTACGACCACATCGCACCCAATATTTGGCCTCCTAACTCTCCAGATTTCAATCCACTAGATATGTGGAGCGTTGTTGAAAGGAGGTTAATAAACAGCCTCAAACACCAAAGACTCTTGTTCGAGTAATGTCTGATATAAATAAGTATCAATTAATCAGAGCTTGCAGTCGATTTCGAACTCGTGTAGAGGCTATTATTGATGCTACTGGTGGTTTTATTGAATAAAATTAAATAATAGTTAGCTAAATTTAATGTTTACTTGTTTGTAATCAAATATAATTATATTGATTTGTTCAGCAAGTTTTTTTTTACTAATCCATAAAATCTGTCCTCAAGCACCAGCCGCACAATATATATATACATCATACTTATTATAAAACCCAGGTTGTGTGTGTGTGTCTGTACGTTTATATATTGGATCGGATTTCCTACATTTTTCAACCGATTTCAACAAAACTACACAGGACTACGTAAAATTACATTGCGGTGGTTCTGACAGCGCCAAAAATTGGAAAAACACAATTGTTTTTGCACGAAATCAATTTGAAAACACGATTACGGCATCAGAAACCCAGGTTTTTTGGATTTTCATCATTTTCAACCGATTTCAACAAAACTTCGAAGTTTTTTGTCTTGAACACTTTTTTTTTTTTTTTTACATTCAGAATGCTTTTAAAAATTCCATTTACAAGGCAATTGTTTATAATAAAATTCTATTCAATCGGTAGACTCATAAGGATTGAAAACAATGTTTTTGTTTGGGTTTGACCATTCGTAAAAAAAATAAAAAAAAAAAAAAAATAATTAAGACATGCATGTCCGTCAACCTTAAACAATAATCTTTTGTCAATTTTATTTTCAGTCTTTATGATGGTCGATACTTGATCTATCTCTTACTGTTACATCCCGAGCAACGCCGGGTTCTACTGCTTTTACAAGATATACTAGAAATTCATTATAAGTCTATAAGCCTAACATGACTTTGTATTTGGCGCTAGGAAAGTTCGAAGAAATTTTAATATGAAGAAAAACATTATTTTTTATTTTATCTTACTTACACACATGTTACGGCGGAGTAATGGATAGGGGCCCCGATTGAGGAATTGCAGAGCCTTGTTCGAATTCAGTCAATCGAACATTTATTTACGTGCCCTTGGAAAAGGTATGCATTCATTTTCTCTCCCCCCACAGATATGGGTAAATAGCAGAACAAACCGGGTTCTACAACCTTGGATGGCTACTGATCTACCAGAGATAGAAATAGGAACCTACTGCCAGATGTAAAAAATAATCACAAGAATTAATCAGTCATATATATATATATATTATATATATATATATATATATATATATATATATATAAAACAATAATATTAATCAGCATTAAAATCCTTGTTCATCCATCGCTAGAAAACATAATTATGCATTAAAATCCTGTTCATCCATAAACTTTGATCCTTGTCGAAAAACTTGTTGTCTGTAGTTTTTCAGTTTATTTGATGTTAAAATGCTAGTACTTACGAATAGTCTTCTATTCATCATCAGGCATGTATTTTTTTTTCCTATAAAATCAAAACTTGAGACGATATACCTGTATGTCGACCGAAAGATGTTTTTTGAATATCTAATTATTGATGGTTGTGTAAGATCTCGGAACGTGCAAAGACGCAACGCGAAGTTTTTCAAAATTTTTTAGTGAGAATTTTATTTAAATATTTCTTGTGATGTGTTAAATCCACGTATTCTATTTTTACAAGTGTATTCAGTTTTTATGTCATGAACTAAGTATCTAGTTCAATAATATAGTGTAATGTCTTATGATGAATAGAAGACTATTCGTAAGTACTAGCATTTTAACATCAAATAAACTGAAAAACTACAGACAACAAGTTTTTCGACAAGGATCAAAACTCGCACTATGGATGAACAGGATTTTAATGCATATATTATGTTTTCTAGCGATGGATGTCGCCAATAATCGCATTAATACTTCTGATTAATTCTATGTGTGATTATTTCTTTGTATGTAAATCATATGCTGCCTAATGTTTTATATATATATATATATATATATATATATATATATATATATATAAGATACATGATCGCCTAAGCGTGTAACACGCATGGCATATAACTAATCTCAGAAAAGCAGAATATTTATTCCATAAAACTACAGTACGGATCGAAGCAACTTCGAAAACGACTGGTTACGCACACCAGGTGATTCTCCTTCAGGTTAGCTGAGAGTGATTTTTAATGATTCCTTTGTTAAATTTCCTTTTCGACAGCTGCGTTCTTAGATTTCTTTTCGACAGCTAGACGAAACAAGGAGATTCAAATCAGACGAGCTTGGAGGCTACAGTTTTGTGTAACATAAAAGTGAAAAATTCTCGGTCAGCCACATCCTGTTCAGGTAGATTATAAATTCATGGAGGGAATCCCTGAATCTATAGAAAACGTACAGTAATTCAGACATTGATCATCGGGTTAAGCAGGCCTCGACATTGATCCTGCTCGGCAAAGGGAAGCGACCTGGGATAGTTGTCGTTGTTTGCAACGAGTACTAGGAGTAGCACAGCTCTTTGTTTCCACCGTTAAATTATACGTTTCCATATACATATATATATATATATATATATATATATATATATATATATATATATATATATATATATATATTATTTAACATTTCATGTTTGATCTTTAACATCAAGCACTGATCTAGTACCACCAGCTCTCTCTCTAAATATATATATATATATATATATATATATATATATATATATATATATAAGTGACTCACATGATTTTTTTATACTAAATGTTCTCTCCTCCGATGAAACAAAAGTTGAGCTAAATTCATAGGATAAGTGATCTAAAATCGGAAGAAGCTTTGAAAGAAAACATGGAACATGTTGCTCAACTGCTTTCTTGAGATCCTGTACTTTATAATGCTCCATAAGTTTTCTATGGGGATGAGGTCAGGAGATTGGGGCGGCCATGTCATAAGACTCACCTGCTTTTCATCAAAGTATTCCTTCATCAATTTTGATTTGTGACAGGGACCATTATCCTGCATAAAAATGAGCTTGGTGGGGTCGATTTTCACCCTTTCAGCAGAAGGGAGCAGACAAGACTAAAATTCTCTTGTACTGCTCGCTCCTGAGGGTCTTTTCAATAGGTTTTAAGAAACCAGTCCCATTAACAGAAAAGCATCCCCAGAACATTATACTGAACGGATGCTTGACAGTACTTACTGCTAACTTCAAAGAGTTTTCAAAGCTTCTTCTTCCGATTTTAGATCGCTTATCCTTTGAATTTAGCTCAACTTTCGTTTCATCGGAGAAGAGAACATTTAGTAAAAAAAATCAGGTGAGTCACTTTCTTTTATCGAACGGCACAGTATATGTATGTCTGTGTGTGTTTGTGTGTGTGTGTGTTTGTGTGTGTATGTGTGTGTGTGTGTGCGCGTGTGTATTTCACCCCATGCTTAAGACGAATAATATTGCATTAAAATCTTTGAAGATCAAAGTTAACTCGGAAGCCAGAAGACATTTTCACAAGCGAGAAGTACGAGAGAAGAAACTATTGGCATAGAACTTACGGTTACATCTTGCCTTTTTAACAGAAAAATGAACCTTATAATTATAATATCTTAAACAACGCTATAATAAATAATTTTACTCACGAATGTTGGCACGAAATGTGGTCAATATTTTGTATGACCTCCTTTCATTATGATTGCGTGATTTCTTGTCAAAACTTCTATAATAGTATATATTATTGCTCTTAAATAGATAGATAGATAGATAGATAGATAGATAGATAGATAGATAGATAGATAGATAGATTACACTTTGGTGAAGTGAAAAATGAATTTTGCTTTTGCTAATAATGCTATGGAAATCATTAGTAGTATAATATCTTAGCTTCAAAATAAATTAAAACCTATACTACTCATTGTTTTAAAATATGCAGTGAATATCTGCTGAACTGTCGTATGAATACCTTTAGAAAGAAATCTTGTCATTTCCTTCATATTCTCTAAAGAAAGAAAGAAAGAAAGAAAGAAAGAAAGAAAGAAAGAAAGAAAGAAAAGAAAAATGAGAGGTAACTGATGAAAGACAATTTGAAGGAATATATGGTTGGATCTGAAAGAAAGAAAGAAAGAAAGAAAGAAAGAAAGAAAGAAAGGGGTTTGAGGGAAAAAAAAGAAAGAAAGAAAGTGGTTTGAGGGAAGATGAGAAAGAAAGAAAAAAGAAAGAAAGAAAGAAATAAAAAAGAAAGAAAAAAGAAAAATGAGAGGCAACTGATGAAAGACAATTTGATGGAATATATGGTTGGATCGCAAAGAAAGAAAGAAAGAAAGAAAGAAAGAAAGAAAGAAAGAAAAGAAAGAAAGGTGTTTGAGAGAAGATGAAAAAGAAAGAAAGAAAGAAAGTAAGAAAGAAAGAAAGAAAGAAAAATGAGAGGCAACTAATGAAAGACAATTTGAAGGAATATATGGATTGATCGCAAAGAAAGAAAGAAAGAAAAAGAAAGAAAGAAAGAAAGGCGCTTGAGAGAAGATGAAAAAGAAAGAAAAAAGAAAGAAAGAAAAAAGAAAGAAAGAAAGAAAAATGAGAGGCAACTGATGAAAGACAATTTGAAGGAATATATCGCAAAGAAAAAAGAAAGAAAGAATGAAAGAAAGAAAGAAAGAAAGAAAGAAAGAAAGAGAGGGGTTTGAGAGAAGATGAAAAAGCAAGAAAAAAGAAAGAAAGAAAGAAAGAAAGAAAGAAAGAAAGAAAGAAAGAAAGAAAGAAAGAAAGACAGAAAAAGAAAAATGAGAGGCAACTAAGGAAACACAAATTAAAGGAATATATGGTTGGATCGCAAAGAAAGAAAGAAAGAAAGAAAGAAAGAAAGAAAGAAAGAAAGAAAGAAATGTGTTTGAGGGAAGATGAAAAAGAAAGAAAGAAAGAAAGAAAGAAAGAAAGAAAGAAAGAAAGAAAGAAAGAAAAATGAGAGGCAACTAATGAAAGACAATTTGAAGGAATATATGGTTGGATCGCAAAGAAAGAAATAAAGAAAGAAAGAAAGAAAGCAAGAAAGAAAGCAAGAAAGAAAGAAAGCAAGAAAGGGGTTTGAGAGAAGATGAAAAAGAAAGAAAGAAAGAAAAAGAAAAATGAGAGGCAACTGATGAAAGAAAATTTAAGGAATATATGGTTGGATCGGAAAGAAAGAAAGAAAGAAAGAAAGAAAGAAAGAAAAAAGAAAGAAAGGGGTTTGATGGAAAATGAAAAAGAAAGAAAGAAAGAAAGTGGTTTGAGGGAAGATGAGAAAGAACGAAAAAAGAAAGAAAGAAAGAAAGAAAAAATGAAAAAAAGAAAAAAGAGAGACAACTGATGAAAGACAATTTGATGGAATATATGGTTGATCACAAAGAAAGAAAGAAAGAAAGAAAGAAAGAAAGAAAGAAAGAAAGAAAGAAAGAAAAGAAAAATGAGAGGCAACTGATGAAAGGTAATTTGAAGGAATAAATGGTTGGATTGCAAAGAAAGAAAGAAAGAAGGAAAAAAGAAAGGTGTTTGAGAGAAGATGAAAAAGAAAGAAAGAAAAAAGGAAAGTAAGAAAGAAATAAAGAAAAATGAGAGGCAACTAATGAAAGGCAATATGAAAGAATATATGTTTAGATCGCAAAGAAATAAAGAAAGAAAGAAAGAAAGAAAGAAAGGGGTTTGAGAGAAGATGAAAAGGAAAGAAAGAAAGAAAGAAAGAAACAAAGAAACAAACAAAGAAACAAAGAAAAAGAAATATGAGAGGCAACTAATGAAACACAATTTGAAGGAATATATGCTTGGATCGCAAAGAAAGAAAGAAAGAAAGAAAGATGGAAAGAAAGAAAGAAGGAAAGAAAGAAAGAAAGAAAGAAAGAAAGAAAGAAAGAAAGAAAGAAAGAAAGGTGTTTGTGGGAAGATGAAAAAGAAAGAAATAAAGAAATATGACAGGCAAGTAATGAAACACAATTTGAAGGAATATATGGTTAGATCGCAAAGAAAGAAAAAAGAAAGAAAGAAAGAAAGGAAGAAAGGAAGAAAGAAAAATGAGAGGCAACTAATGAAACACAATTTGAAGGAATATATGGTTGGATCTGAAAGAAAGAAAGAAAGAAAGAAAGAAGAAAGAAATAAAGAAAGAAAGAAAGAAAGAAAGAAAGAAAGAAAGAAAGAAAGAAAGAAAAAGAAAGAAAGAAAGGCGTTTGAGAGAAGATGAAAAAGAAATAAGAAAGAAAGAAAAAAGGAAGAAAGAAAAATGATGAAAGACAATTTGAAGGAATATATGGTTGGATCGCAAAGAAAAAAGAAAGAAAGAAAGAAAGAGAGAATGGGGTTTGAGAGAAGATGAAAAAGAAAGAAAGAAAGAAAAAAATAAATAAATAAAAGCTTGAGGCAAAGAAAGAGCAAGTGTTCAATGGATTCAAAGAATGTTATGAAAGAAAGTGAGAAAATATTAATTGGTGATAAAGTATGTCAGAAAACCCGCAGAGTGTACGACTCGGTGGAATGGAAAGAAAGAAACTAGTGATGATCGCATGAAGAAGATTGGTAACTGGTCTACGGTCCTTATTTTGATGTATTCAGATATATGTATATGTTCGACATCAAACTGAAATTAGGCTTATAACCACTCCTTCACACGCATGCGCATAAAACATGTGAGGCTTAATACACACGGTGCATTAAAATCTGCCCTGTCTTCTATAAGAAGCATCGACAAACAAATCCGCAGAGCTACAATTGAAGATTCACATATCAAACGCTTCATTCGGAAAATGAACATTAGTAATTGTATGTACTTATACATACTGTAAGTATATTTCTCCGCAGTACTTCAAGACATGCATTCAAGCAAATACGAAGTGGGTATTATATAAGCTTCTAAAGTAAAATAAACGTAAGTAATATAGACATAAAAGCCCGCTTATCTACTGGTAGCAAGTATAAGAGATTTAATTTATGTTTGCTGCTAAGCGTGTATTACGTTAAATATATGTTTTGATCGAGTTAGTCTTTATTCAGCATGTCCTAAAATTAAACCTAACATTGAACGAATTTATGTATAAATGTTTACTTATAGGAAAAAATCCGAGATAAAATGCGTGTTGAAAATATTTTTATATCTCTCTCATTATACAGGGTGACCCAAAATAATGGGAATTTTTAACCATCCAATAAAACCAAGAGTGATGGAAGAAAAATATTTTATTCATTGTAACCTTAAAACATGCCATTTAAGAAACAATGAGGGAATTTTCATTTTTTAAAAATACGTCCTGTTGATGGCGTCCTCCTGTACGAATGTATTCTTGAAATCTGCTGTTGAGATTGCTCATTGACTGCTGCAACATCTCAGCTGAGAATTTCATCTTGAATTTTAAATGGCGAAATGTTTACTTGCTCAAGGTCACTGTCTCGAAGTGTTCCCACTTGCTCATGTCTGGCAATACGCACTTTAAAATTTCTGTTTCTTGGGGTCACCGTGAATAAATATGGATTATCTTTTAATTCATGTAGGAGTTAAATATGAGCGGTATAATGTTCTTGAAATAAAGATAGTTGCATTTCTTGATCAGACAGATTAAACTGGACATTGTTTTGGTACAAGAGAGGTTACATTATCTTTACCTAATTTAAAGACGGCCAGTCCTAAAATTAAATTCATTTTTATTGGTTGACTTCATATTTTGCTGTATAGAGCTTGAGTATTTTTGAAAGGACGATTTACTGACAATTTTATCAAAACAATTTTTAACCGGTGAAATTTTCACGGGGTTTACTATTTTTATATTCTGATGAATTGAGTAAAAAACTCATAGCAAGTTTCTGTGACAGTAAGATATCATTCCCGTATCGCATCGTTAAATATTTGAGCTTAACAACTTTAAGAAAATATTAACAAAAATATTTAATAAAAATTATCATAAATAGGAATGCTGGTGGTTATTTTAAGATGTGGGTACAAATGGAAACATTTGAAATTTAAAACTTTTTCTATTTCCCTAAAACAGTCATTATGCACTTCCCTCCCACCTCTCTCCTTTCTTTCTTTCTTTCTTTTTCCCACGGAAACCAAGTAGTGTATGCTCTCCTCTTCCACGCGATCAAACCGAAATAGTCTATTATTGATACGGTGACGGTGGAGTAATGGATAGCGTCTCGGATTCAGGAATCGGAGAGCTGAGTTCGAATTCCAGTCGAATCCATTACATTCACTGACAGAAAGATATGAATCCCCTTCTACCTCCAGGATGGCAACTGGTCTACCGCAGAAAGAAATGGCAACTTACAACGGGAAAAAATCTACGTCGTCAGTCATATATCGAAAGATACATAATCGCCTAAGCATGTATCACGCATGGCACATAACTGACTGACTGTTGGCAGGGCATAACGGTCGTGCGAACTAACGAAGAGAGAGACAAACAGAATTATAATAGGATATTCATAATATTTTTTTTATAACTTCTGCCAAATAACACGAATGTTATTTAAATCTGAATTACCCAAACCCCTGTTTTTTTTTAATGCCTGATATTTTAATGTGTTATGTATGAAGAAGAATTGATCTATGAAAAATCAAATGGCAGATGGTGAGAAAAATGTTAGAGCTGAACCATTGGTTCTGAGGGAGAAAAATTATTCCCAACACTTCATATCAAACTAGTCTTGACGAAACAGCAGAATTCTAAGACAAAGATGGTAAATTCTTTCAAAAAATATGCAGTATATCTTCCATCCTGAGAATGAGAATCTTGAAAATAAGGTATCTTTGATGGATCTCAAATAAGAAAACTTCTCAGGGATGAAAACGTTGTTAATGTTGTGAATTCACAAGAGTTAGATGCATAGACTGCATTGGTTTCGTGATTAAAATCTTTCCTGGTAACACCAAGGCCGAATACTGTGAGAATTTTGGTGATATTAGTGAAAGATTCTACTAAGATATTAAAGCTATAGGAAAAAAAACTAAATAAGGACTACTGCCGAAGCATACATTTGTAGAACTCTACTAAGTATTCGTGGAAACGAAATAAGCGAAAATTTTGCCATTGAATAATGCTGTCATATCTGGCCAGGTGTTCCGTCTATATAACTCGAGAGTCTTGACAAAATCCAAAGGTCTGTAATGTTATCGGACAGGGAATTGCGTCTTCAGTCACTTTTCTATTACATGGCTTCCCCTGTCTTTTCTATAAATGTTTCCATGGCAATTGTTCTAATGAGCTCTCTTCCCTGGCATTTCGGCCGCATCAATTTAAACGTACTAAAAGATTGCTATCTAGGTCACATCGTTTGTTTTACTATTGAAATAGCTAGACGTAACCGTAAATTCTATTCTAATAGTTTCTTTTCTTAAGCTTCTTAGCTGTCTAAATTTCTTCCGATTTGTGATTCCATACAACCTAGAATCTGAAAAAAATTTAAATGCAACATCAATTGTCATGTTTTGTTTTTCTAATCCCTGTTCGTTTATTGTCTTTTGACCCCACTAAAGTTTTCTCATTCACTTTCATTTTCTGTAACCCATTGTGTCTTATTGGCATTATCCACTAATCTATACATCTATAAATATTTATTATATATTATAAATATTCCCATCATAAATAGCCTTTTATCGTACTTAATGGGGTAAATTGGATTTAACCTCGCACTTAATCTAAGAGAACATGGCGCAAGGCCGAAGTTAAAGTGGAAGTCCCTCGAGGACATGGCTACATAGCTATCTCATTCTGTTCATATCTATCCCTTTTCTGTTCATATCTATCTATCTATCTATCTATCTATCTATCTATCTGTTTACATTCATCTACATAACTATCTCATTCTGTTCTTATCCCTTTCTCTCATTCTGTTCATATCTATCTATCTATCTATCTATCTATCTATCTATCTATCTATCTATCTCATTCTGTTCTTATCAATCTGTCTCATTCTGTTCATATCTATCTATCTATCTATCTATGCATAGATGTATAAATAGAAATATTTATGCGTGTAAAAGTGTACTTTTCTTTTTGAAGATCTAAATATATAGAATGAAAGTAAGCTTTTTCATTATCCCTATTCGAGCAGTAGATATTCTTTATATATTTCATGTTATTCGATTAACGAGAATCGATATATAAAATGAACTATTGAAAAGATGAACGAGAATCAATATATATATATATATATATATATATATATATATATATATATATATATAATAAATGAACTATTGAAAACGATGATCAACAAAATGAATTTAAAAATTAGTTATTTTTGCATGAGCAATGTTGAAAAAATTATTAGCTTTCACAATAGAAGAATTTTAAAAGAATTTCATTATAATCAACTACAAAAGGATCTTTATGCAACCAAAAGAAAACATCTACCTGTAATTGTAGGGCAGGATCAGTTTGTCCAGTAGAATGAATATGCATGGCAGAAAACGTGATATACGAAGCTACAATTTTCCCCAAGGAAGATATTAAACAGTAAAAGATATATAGGAATATCGGTGGGAAATTGGAAGCAACGTTTTTATAACCACCGCCAGTCCTTCACAAATAAATCTAAACAACTCCAAAAAACACTGTCAAAACATTATTGGGATTTCTTGAAGAGCAACTTAACCTCACAAGTAAAATGGAAAATCGTATCGAGGGCTAGAACTCCAATAAATTTCAGAGACCGATGTAACTTGTGTATAAAAGAGAAGATACTAATGATAAAGTATAAAGATCCGGACATATTACTGAACCAACATAACGAGTTAATTTTTAAATGTAGACATAAAAGTCACCTCAAACTAACTAAATATATTTAGAAATAACTATATAGAAAGGAAAATATTATGTTATTTTTAGTTTTGGAAATAATTATATGTACACATGGATGCGAATACATAATTGTATGTATACAAATGTGTAGATGGACTTGGACGGTGCTATGTGATTTTATGTATGTATGTATGTACATTTGTATATGGGTGTATATATGCATATATATGTGTATATGTATTGTATATAAAGCATATATAAATATATATATATATATATATATATATATATATATATATATATATATATATTATATATTAGGTATAAGATTGCATGTGGTCTGTATATGTATGTGTGTATATATATAAATGTTAATATTTGTGAGTTCATATTGGTAATATGTGTGAAAATATGTAAAATATAGTAATATAAATACATATGCATATATAGGAGTTTATGGGTATAGATCGGTTTATATATATATATATATATATATATATATATATATATATATATATAAGAGAAGAGAGAGAGAGAGAGAAAAGTATTTCAATGGAAGGACATAAATCTTACTTTTTTTATTAATGTTTAATCTTACTTTCCCTCTTAATATTCTCTAATTAGAATTGTGAGATTAATTTTTTTATCATCTGGAGGTAATTCCATTTTATATTGATAATTTAATTTAAATTTAAATATATCATTCTTTAACTATCAATATTGATAGTAAAATATTAAAATTAGAACTATTTGTTTGGATATTTAAACACATAAGTCATCACCTAACGTTGAACATTAACTGTGAAATTAAAGAAAAATTTAAATAGATATAAATATGTGTAATTATTTGTAAATGTATGTGTAAGTATTTACATATAGATATAGGTACCTGTGTATTTCGATACATGTGTATGTACTTATGTGTGTAATTGCACATGTAAATAAACGTATGTATATAAAATTTACATATGTGTATATATGGGATATATATAAGGAAAAAAAAACAAAATCTTTAATATTACCTTCCAGTATTACTCCATCTTAATTTGAAACCTAAACTTTAAATAAGTTAGATTACCCATCTAATAATAGTTACAAATTACATTCATGGATTAGATTCAAACTGATAAAGATGTTACCTTAAGAGTCATTTACAATATCAAAAGAGTACTATCAGTAAACTGTTATATTTTAAAAATGTGTTCTCTATGAATGTGTTAATAAATACAGTATTTAAGTTATATTAAATCCATAAGTTATTTGTAAAAGAATTAAATATTTAAATTGCTAGCAAGCATCAAATTAATTTCTTCGGTTTTTTTTTCTTTTGAACATTTAAATTACTATCAAACATTAAAATCTATTTTTTACATTAATTGCTAAAAATATACAACCCCACTTCTTCCTACGTAAAACCTAATTACAGCATCTTTCTCTTTACTTCCATCTTTTTTCTTTTTCTTTTTCTCTCTTCTCCCCTCCCATTTCAATATATCACTTCCGTTAAGTTAACCGTTTAAATAGGTCATGGTCTGGTCTTTCCTCCCCCAATACAAGTATGATTGATAGAAATATTAAAATAAACTCTCTCCTAAACTCAACCATGTCTCTTCCACCACTCCTCCATACCCTCTTTGTTAAATTACATAAACTTGATACTACTTGTCAAAAGTGTAAATTTTCATTTCATCTTTCATTTCATTTTTGGAAGTGTTATCTGATGATCTAGCGTCCCTTAAAGAGCTCTGTTAAAATAAATTATTATAATGGAACCTTAAAGTGGTTTGTTTTACTTTAATATATATATATATATATATATATATATATATATATATATATATATATATATATATATATATATATATATATATATATATATATATATAAACCTATATTAAATCAAATCTGAAAAATATTAAATGCAACGTCAATTGTCATGTTTTGTTTTTCTAATCCCTGTTCTTTTATTGTCTTTTGACACCACTAAAGTTTTCTCATTCACTTTCATTTTCTGTAACCCATTGTGTCTTATTGGCATTATCCACTAATCTATACATCTATAAATATTTATTATATATTATAAATATTCCCATCATAAGTAGCCTTTTATCGTACTTAATTGGGGTAAATTGGATTTAAGCTCGCACTTAATCTAAGAGAACATGGCGCAAGGCCGAAGTTAAAGTGGAAGACCCACGAGGACATGGCTACATAGCTATCTCATTCTGTTCATATCTATCTCTTTTCTGTTCATATCTATCTATCTATCTATCTATCTATCTGTTTACATTCATCTACATAACTATCTCATTCTGTTCTTATCCCTTTCTCTCATTCTGTTCATATCTATCTATCTATCTATCTATCTATCTATCTATCTATGCATAGATGTACAATTCGAAATATTTATGCGTGTAAAAGTATACTTTTCTCTTTGAAGATCTAAATATATAGAATGAAAGTAAGCTTTTTCATTATCCCTATTCGAGCAGTAGATATTCTTTATATATTTCATGTTGTTCGATGAACGAAAATCGGTATATATATATATATATATATATATATATATATATATATATATATATATATATATATATATATATATGTGAAAAGTGTATATAAATATAAATAAATATATATATGTATAATTATTTATATATTATATGCGCGGTACTTATTAAAAGCGCACAATATCAGAGATAGAGCTAACATATTTGGTTGGATAGATGTGAGTTTGTGACCCTGGGTTTCACGCTTTAGCGATCGTCAGACAAACTGATTAATTTTTATTTAAAATTTGGGTTTATGTAGATTGCGTGTATTGTTGTTATTGTGGAAGTGGTGGGGAAAATTTCGTCGCTTATGTCATCGGACTAACGCAAACATCGATGTATGCAAACACATATACATACTTGGTCGTCTGTCGGGACTCATACATATATGAACATATGTGGGCAGTTTTGGCTATGACATATGTATGTATACGGGTGGTGTTGTATCTATACATACGCATTTGTATGTTGAAATGTTGAAGTGTGGCGGAAATGTCTCGTGAATGTCTCGTGAATGTATATATGTCATATTATGTATTTTTCCGCTAAATATTTCCTCGCATGTATGTATATAAAAATAAATATAAATAATAATAATTTTTACCTATCATAATTTTACACAAACCCCACCACACGTATATACATACATGCGAGGAAATATTTTATATTTTATATATATATATATGTATGTGTGTGTGTGTGTGTGTGTGTAGAATGGATAGATAGATATTAAATCTGACTGAAACTTTTTTTAGTTTTCCGTGTTTTGGTCTTCACAGTGTAACCATATATATATATATATATATATATATATATATATATATATATATATATATACATATAGGTAGTCATCTACAGGCAAATTGTTCTGCTGTATCACAGCTCATCAGTGTGGTTAGACATCAGATTACTCCGAGCCGGGATGGAAACTCGACTGATTTGACATCAGTCAGAGACTCTTACCTCTAGGCTAACGGCCCACAGCACAGAAATGGATTTTTAACGCACACTATACGTGCTATATAAACGCCATACCGGCCGCCATACCGCTCAATTCGCACGAAGAGCGATTCATTAAAGCAGCAGCAGCAGTCGTTAAAATTTCCCTTTTCTCCATAATGCTCAATCTGTTAATGAGATATATATATATATATATATATATATATATATATATATATATATATATATATATATATCCTGACAGAGAATCGCGTTTTCAGTCACTTCTCTTCCCGCCGTGACATGGTTTCCTCTGTCTTTTCTATAAATGTTTCCATGGCAATTGTTCTAATGAGCTCTCTTCCTGGCATCTGGCCCGCATCAATTTAAACGTACTATCAAATTGCTATCTAAGTCTCATCTTACTTTTGAAGTAGCTAGACGTGACCTTAAGTTCTATTCTAATATATATATATATATATATATATATATATATATATATATAGAGAGAGAGAGAGAGAGAGAGAGAGATAACTAGACTCGTCTCGAAAAACCCTCGAATTTTTGATTTGCTAATCAAATCAATCTCGAGGAAAAAAAGGTTTTAAAAAAGAAAGAGCTACAAACATGAACTTCTGCCGACAAAAAAATTTGCACAGATGCAGGTCTGAAGCCCAAAGAAAAAACCCCGATACGAGTAACAACTAACAAAAGAGCTCAATACAACCGTAGAGCAGACCTAGATACACCTAGTGAGCCAGACAAACCTACCTAGGTTTCATCTAAACGGATCGTCAGGGAAAGTATATATATATATATATATATATATATATATATATATGGCTCAAATAATTTATTACATTGGAATCTTAATTATATTGTTATTCTGTCCTGGACATTGAGTTCTACCTGGAAATTTCTCTCTCTCTCTCTCTCTCTCTCTATATATATATATATATATATATATATATATATATATATATAGTAATGTCCAAAACTAAGGGACAAAATTTTAAAACCTAATATTTGTTAGAAATAACAACTCTGAAAAGCTGAAATTCTGACAACTGGTAGTCGCTATCATCCATAATAACATACTAAAATTTGAATCATTTGCAAAGAATAGAAAAAGAATTATAACAATTATTTATTTATTTTCAAATTTGGAACGTCCAAAAGTAAGGGACAAAATTGAGAAAAAACAATGTAAACAGTATGCTATATTCAAATTTTTAATTTCCTCTAAAGAATAAGTCTTACTTAGTCATTTTGTAAACGTTGCATCAGCCGGCACCATGGCGAAACTCCAAAAACTTGATTACTCTGAGACAAGCTATTGTGAAGCTACACAAGGAAAAGCACACCATTAGAGATTTCAGAGAAAGTGAAACGTTCCAAGAGTGTTGTAGGCAGGGTTGTTAAATCCTACAATGATACTGGCAAAATAGTTAGTGCCTTTAAAACCGGCAGACCCCTGCAAAACTTCGGCAAGAGAAGATCGAATAATGCAGCGTATGTCATTAAAGGACCGTTTTAAGTCTTGCACAGAAATTAAAAGGGTTATGAATAGTACCTCATGTGTTAATGTGTCAAGACAGACTGTTTGTAGACGACTGCAAGAAATAGGGCTGTTTAATCGAACCCCAGGGAAGAAACCACTTGTTAGTTCGAAGAATAAGAAGAAGAGATTAGAGTTTGCAAACAGGTATGTAATTTGGACATATGAAAATTGGGCAAAAGTATTTTTCAGTGATGAAAGTAAGTTTAATTTATTTGGAAATGATGGAAAAAACAATGTAAAGAGACGTATTGGTGAAAGATTAAGTGCAAAGTGTACTAAGAAAACTGTCAAGTTTGGGGGCGGAAGCGTCATGGTATTTGGAATGTTTTCTAGCCAAGGTACAACGCCTCTTGTCCGGTTACAAACTCGTGTAAACGCGCAGATCTATAAAAACATTGTTCAAGATAATGTTGTGCCAATCATACAGAATTCAGGTTTCGATAGGGCTACCTTTATGCAAGATAATGCCCCATGTCACAAGGCAAAAGGTGGTAATGAGTTACCTTAGCGAGCAAGATTTGGAAATTATGGATTGGCCACCGCAAAGTCCTGACTTAAATCCAATAGAAAATCTTTGGAAGACCTTAGGGTGAAAGTTATGGAAAGAAATCCCACTAACACGGAGGATTTGTGGGTGAAGCTTCAAGAAGAATGGTCTAAAATTAGTATCGAGGATTGTCAAGAACTGATTCGTTCTTGTAATCGAAGATGTGCAGCTGTCATTGAGAGCAAGGGCTCATTTACTAAATATTGATTGTACATGTATTTTATTGTTTTTTTTGTTGTTTACATTGTTTTTCTCAATTTTGTCCCTTACTTTTGGACGTTCCAAATTTGAAATAAATAAATAATTGTTATAATTCTTTTTCTATCCTTTGCAAATGATTCAAATTTTAGTATGTTATTATGGATGATAACGACTACCAGTTGTCAAAATTTCAGCTTTTCACAGTTGTTATTTCTAACAAATATTAGGTTTTAAAAGTTTGTCCCTTAGTTTTGGACGCTACTGTATATATATATATATATATATTGACCACTAATATTATATATATATATATATATATATATATATATATATATATATATGTGTGTGTGTGTGTGTGTGTGTGTGTGTGTGTGTGTGTGTGAGAGAGAGAGAGACAGACAGACAGATAGATATAAAGGGAAAAGACATCAGGAAAACTATAGTTTTAACCGACGCCTTTCGTTTAAGGCGGACTTTTCAAGACTAAAAACGATAAAGTCCACATTTTCTTTTATACATTGTTATTGTCTTTTTTCTACGGGTTAATTCTGAGAAAGGTTTACACACACACACACACACACACACACACACACACACACACACATATATGCCTGTGCGTATGTGTGTCTGTGTGTGTGCATATGAATGGATTCTAAAACGACTTGTTCCAAAGCGTATAATTGATTAAGATATGATGATATTCTCTCAGCTCTTATATATCTGTATAGGTGTGTGTTTGAAGGTCATTTCAGTGTAGAAGCACGGATTACGTCTCCAAAGCAAAGAATAACAAGTCGAAACCAAGCCATTTAATTCCTTTGATGATTAAAAAAAAGACATATATTATTTTCACAAGACGACTAATATAGATAAAACACGTTGTTTATATTTTTTTTATTTCAAGTGAAAGCTAAAAACATATATCATCAAGAAAAGAACAAATGAAGTAAGAAAACAAAAATAAATTCAAAATATCCCAGCCTTGATTAACTTTAATTAGAACAAATCAAAAGGTAGAAATGCGTCTTGTTAATGGACGAAATAGTCAGTGGGATTAATTAAATATGGAGAAAGGAAGATCATTTTGTGAGGTTGGTCTGGAGTGTTCTGTGTTTCTCTCTGGAAGCTTTTTGTCTTTTTTTTTAATAACTTTTGATAGTGGTGCGTACTGTTTTGCCAAATCTTCTGAGATTATATTTCTTGGAGAGTATTTATTTATATATGACCAAAAAATATAAATACAAACATGTTTATATACAGGATGTGCTATTAGCGTAACTGATATTGAGGTGGAAATCGGAATTAATACGTGGCGTTCAACACCAAGTTCTCGTCTATAACGTTCACTTAAAGCAAATATTCTTGGGAAATGCATAAATTCAACATAGGTATCCCAGATATGGATTGAAAAAACAAAGTAGACTACTTCTCTAGCCTTGGGTAGGCCTTTTCGTAAGAGAAAGGCAACTCGAAAACCTGGAAAAAAAAAAAACATTAAGTAATCACTCAACTATATGTTTCCAAAGAAGTCAGAACACTTTCTATGTATTAAAAGAGAAGTCATGGAAATGACAATAAATTTAGAATA